GCGGCGGTTCGCTTGCCGGGCCCCCGGCGGGCCCTGCCATTTGGGGGCGGGGTGGGGGCCCCCACACGCCCTGCTCTGTGTTCCCTACTCAGTCCAGCGTGAGTGGGGAGGACGCAGGCGGCAGCCCGGTGGGCACGCAGAGCCGGCTTTCCAAACAGCGGCCTGCCTTCAGCCCTCGGGGGTTCTGTGTGCCCGTCTCCTGCCTGGGCCACGCAACGGCTGCTTCTCCCCCGAAGCGTTAAGCCTCTCGCATCCGCCCGCATGCTGCCTACAGCCCTGTTTCAAATACCTTGGCTGGAGCCTTGTCAGAAACCTGGGCAGTATCTTTAGGGGCCGTTTATTCCATTTCCCCGGGGGCTGCGCCGGGGGACGGTCACCCTGCCTCTCCCAGGAGCTAGTAACAGCGGGGCGATGCAGGCTGGGTGGGGGGGGGGGGGTGCTCCCTGGGGGCGAAGGCGCCAGCTTAGTGGAAGCGGCGTGGTGAGGAGCTTGCAGCCTTGGCAGAGAGCAGTGCGGAGCTGCGGGCCCTTCGGCGGGCAGGGCTCCTCCCCCACGTCCTGACCCCTACCTGGCCCTTCCAGAGTGGCCCCTGGCTCCCTCCCCCTGACAACAGGCCCCACGGCTCCACCTGCCCCGGCCTGGGTCGGGCCCCACTAGAGACCTCGCTCCTGAGGGCGGTGAGCTCCACGCCCTGGCGCCTGGCGGGGCGCGTTCCAGCTGGACGCCGGCAGGGAGGGATGGGATGGGAGAGGGCAGCAGGCCGGGAGTCGGAGGCCTGCTCCTTTGCTCTTGCTTGCCCCCACTTGCTACTTCCCTGCACCCCATCCCCTGGGATGAGTCTCCACGTCCCGCAGAGCCCGTTCCGTGGGCTGGCTCGCCGGCGCAGAGGGCATCGAGCTGTGCGCACGCTGGGCGTGCCTCTCCAAGCCTGCTTGGCATGGGTGGCCGTCGGGCTCTTCGGGGGTGGGGGCTCAGTCTGTAATGGTCTCGCGGCACCTCAGAGACCCACGGGACAGGTAGCTGGGGTCGTGAGCTTGGGGGGGCACAGCCCACGTCTTCAGGGGCCCGGTGTATCAAAGGCCCAGTTCCTGAAGAACCGGGGTGGGGGAGGAGGAAGGGAGCGGTGAGTTAGGGTTCGTGTGCCAAGCTGAGCGCGAAGGGGCAAATTGTGCTTGCGTGCCCGTCGGTCGGCTGAGCCCTGAGGAGGGGGAGGCAGGTGACGTCTTTGTGACGGGTCCCAGGCCGTACATGGAGTTGAGTCCCGGCGCCTCCCGGCGTGCGTGGCCTGTGGGGTTGGCCTGTGGCTCGTGGCAGAAGTCAGGCCGCTGTTGCTGTGGTGTCCACAACGCGTGGGCCTGTCCCGGGCCGGTCTGCCTTTCACGTCTCCCTTCCCACTGCCCCCAGGAAGAACGGCGCCAAGTGCCTGGTGCACTGTAAGATGGGCGTCAGCCGGTCGGCCTCCACGGTGATCGCCTACGCCATGAAGGAGTACGGCTGGACCCTGGACCGGGCCTACGACTACGTGAAGGAGCTTCATGCGGCATCTGGAGGAGTACCAAGGCATTCTGCTGGCCAGGTGAGCCCCCCGCCCGCCAGGCGTGTAGCAGGAGAGCTGGAAAGGGGCTGGGCCCAGCCTGCCTCTGCCCTCTTCACCGGGGATGTTGCAAAGAGGAGCTGCCGGGAGGACGAATTGTGGTTGGTGGCACAGCCCTGGGCGCGTCTGGGCCGGGCCCTGGCGTCCCTGCCTGTCCCGGGCCGGTCTGCCTTTCACGTCTCCCTTCCCACTGCCCCCAGGAAGAACGGCGCCAAGTGCCTGGTGCACTGTAAGATGGGCGTCAGCCGGTCGGCCTCCACGGTGATCGCCTACGCCATGAAGGAGTACGGCTGGAACCTGGACCGGGCCTACGACTACGTGAAGGAGCGCCGCACCGTCACCAAGCCCAACCCCAGCTTCATGCGGCAGCTGGAGGAGTACCAAGGCATTCTGCTGGCCAGGTGAGCCCCCCGCCCGCCAGGTGTGTAGCAGGAGAGCTGGAA